GATGGGTGTACTCGGATTTTTTCATTTCGAGCCGCCTGTGTCAGACTTAAAAATCATCTTTCTCAAACTAATTACCGCTGATACTTGCAGCTTCTTTGTTTTTATGTCTGATTAGCTTTTTCCTTGCAACTGAGTGAGAATAATTCACAAATACGTCAGATGTTCACGATTTTCCGAGTTTGACAAACATTTAAAATTACCTAACGACTGAAGCCGTCGAGCCACAGCCGCAGCAAATCTTCTTTCACCGCCCAAGTTTGTTGTTACAAGTTTATAGATAGGTCCACTAAAAAAAACAAAACAAAACAAAGAAAACATTAGAGCCAGTAAAACTCTGGAGAAAAGCGGAGCCCCCGAGCGCGCCAATTAGACGGTGAACATTATCACGTGATATCTCCCTCCTCTGAATCCCATGGTACAAAGGGGATTTTGGCGAAAGAAAAGTGATCATGGGAGTAGCCTGTGTAAAGCCGCCCCCTCCCTTTTCCCGATTTTTCCCAAGGGGAGAAGGCGGCTGTACACAGGATATTATGGAAGCAGTGATATTCCAGGAAAGCCTTCAGATTTTTAATCACAAGGAATTTTATTTTTTGTTTTACTAGACTGTCCAATTCTTGGCAGGGTAACCGCAAAAGCGTGAAGCCAAGTATTGTGCCCCGTGACAGTTCCCTTCCACGTGAGAGATAAACCACACCACAGAGGTCTACCTCTCACTCTCTTCTCCAACAGCAGTGTGGGTTCTTTTTACATCCCCTTCGAATTGTTAAGAAAGGATGAATAAGACAAGGCCAATGGATTAACATCACCGCCCACTGACGTGACTATCAGATCATCTGGACTGAGACAAGATCTTAGATAACAGGCAGCATGATATGATCAGTTTTTTGAAGACCCTGGTTGGTGTTGGGTTTAAACGGCGGGTTTAAACCTGCTTGGCAGAACGCTACCTTTCCAACAAGGCTAATCAAGCGGAGGTACAATTGAAAAATGGTAAACGTGCAGCGCGCAACCATTTCCTTCTTCTTTAGGTAATAGCTTATATCAAAGGGATAGGAACGTTTGTGTTTGGGCAGTGCATGTACCTTGTCTGGTTTGACCGGTGTGATCTTCCCAGTTGCTGAACAGCTTTGTCAGCACTCCAAGGCAGCTCAATGGTCACATGAACACGGCGGCACTGATTGGCTGCTCGGAGATCCGCGTGTAACGAGATACCTGTGTAATTCAATGAGTCTTACAAATGATATCACACAGAATATTGTAATATTAAATCATTTGGAAAACAGTCGATGTACCAGGTGGTATACGACCCCAAGTAAATTATCGTCTTGTCTTGTCACTTATACACGTTATTTATTGCGGTTCCTTTTACCCGAGGAAAACCTTTTATTCCTGCTTGAGTAGAACTTTAAGTCAAGAAACATCACTCTAAATTTCGAGTCTCTACACGGAATTCCAAGTAATGGCAACTCAATTGAACGCTAACAGACACTGAGCCAGCGATTCTTTGTGTGAAAATAACTTCAAGGTTGCCCTCAAATTTCAAGTATTAAAAGAATTTAAAAAGTGCAAGGTTTAATCCAGGTAACTTCAAACGAATCAAGATGCAAAGGGAACCTACCAGTGCTGGCGGCATCAGATATGATGGCAACAAGTTTTGTTCCATTCATAAAACTGTTCCTCTGTGATACAATGCAATCGAAAAAACAACGTTAAATGTTCAGATATACTCAAACAACTCTCTAAAAACTGTGGTATTTAAAGAGGCAGTTCTTGAGCTTCAAGCAATTGCTTTATGCCGACTTAGTTGTCATAGCGAAAGCGAAAAATACTGGGGAATGAAACGAAGATCCGAAACCGGATTGCTACCTGAATTTAAGGCATAAGAGTTCAGATTTAGAGTAAGACTTTAAGGTTGGACTACACTTGAAAACTTGTAATCCCAGGAACAACTAACAAAGGCAAGCACTAGGCTGTCTTTCTCGCGCTGAAACGACGGTCCTGTTTTTAAATGTAAGGGACAAAGGCAGAGTTCATCCTCGGAGACCCAGGGGCAGTCATTCAGGTCGGCAGAAACGGTGCGACGAGTCGTGCGACGAGTCGTGCGACGAAAGTTTTCGACCTGGCTGCCTGCTCCAGGGTCTTGGCCGAGGATGACGTCTATGCTGATCACTGTAATTACCGACTGTAAATCGCATTTTCTACCATTTTATTCGGAACACGGCGCAAGATTTAGTTCTGATCACTTTGCTCACCTCTTGAATATTCAAACTATCCACATTGCTGCTGTCTGATTCTCGAGCCTCGTAATGAGGTTGAGGCTGCTTGTCAGTTTTTACCACGCGACCACGCCTGCCTGTCATTTCCGCTACTTTTCCTGGTCCTCCGAGCTGGTTTATAAGGTCATCAAGAGGACTAGAGACAAAAATAAGTCAAAAAGGTACGAAGGTAAAGTCTGCGTTCGAGCCAGGTAGCCCATTTGGCCGTAGCACATTCCGATCTCCATAGCATGAAGCGACTAGGAATATTTTTGGTCTTCCTTGGACGGGATAGTAGTCAATAACAGGATCCCTGCCACCTCCACCCAGGATTAAATCTTTTGGTACCCAACTTTATACACCTGGGTGAAGTGAGACAGTGTATGGTAGTCCATAACAGGATCCCTACCACCTACACCCAGGATTAAATCTTTTGGTACCCAACTTTATACACCTGGGTGAAGTGAGACAGTGTATGGTAGTCCATAACAGGATCCCCCCACCTCCATCCAGGATTAAATCTTTTGGTACCCAAATTAATACACCTGGGTGGAGTGAGACAGTGTATGGTAGTCCATAACAGGATGCCCCCACCTCCATCCAGGATTAAATCTTTTGGTACCCAAATTTATACACCTGGGTGGAGTGAGACAGTGTATGGTAGTCCATAACAGGATCCTTTGCATCCCCACCCAGGATTAATCCCAAAAATAAGGCGGCAAATTTGTTATTTTAGAATATTTTAAGCACTGAAAACTGGTTTCTGTCGTCTGTTGCAACGGATGGCAAGAATGGGCATGGATTTAAACTTGAAAACGTTGTACCATATTGTTCAAGTTTTAATGCTATGCCTGTAACAGTCACCCAAAAAATTAGTGGTTAGTGCTCTATGATTAAAAATTTGTTTGTATATACTCAATAGGTAAGGGCAAGAAGTAATGAATTGACCGAAAACAGCAATTTGCTCATGCCATGGCCCCTTTAAAGGGGGTTAAAGAACTTAACATTTATACAAACCTGACTGGGAGATTAATTTTCTTGACAAAACCTTGAAGAAGATTTTTAGCCTGAACACTCCACTGATCTTCAACAACATCGCCGTTCTACACAAAATACACAAAAGCCTTGAATTTTTTTCTTTTTTATTTACTTAACATAGTTCAAAACGAAAACAAGACTATTAGACTGGACTTCAGTGGCTTATGAATTACAACAGGAGAAGCACAATCAAATCTTTTACGCAGAAAGTGTATTAATGTTGAAAAATTATCCATTGGTTGTGTGATGTATCATCCTTGAGATTAGCCTGCGTAGCTGGTGGGATCAAAGCGCATGAACATTGTTGGGCGACGCTGAAGTCGCTAGGGGAAACAAAAAATCTTCTCTCATCTTCAAAGCCAAAACCAAAGCGCTCGTGTAATTGAGCACTCGCGTGAGCTAGATCCCAACAGCTAAGCAGGGTTCTTCGGAATTACTCACCGATTTAATTATCTGAGTTGGAAAATACTGCGTGATAAACCTGCTAATGATTTCTTCTGTACTTGAGACAAAGCCATTCAGTACTCCACCACAACGTGATATTTCACTTTCCAAACTTGCCTGACAAATGAAATGATGACGACACCCTTAGCGACACACCAGTGTCGTAAACGCCAAACCCTAAATTCAAGCACCCACTAACTCATGATCATTAGGGAGCATCAGCAACGACAACGGTGGTGCGAAAAGTGAATTCAGTTTACGCCGTTTCAAAATTCATCGTTGTTATTCCATGTCGTTGAAGGCAAATGTTGCTGAATTTTTCTGGAGTTGGATTCTAAAGGACATTCTTTATAGTCAGTAATAAAAATGGTTTTGTTGTGTTCACGTCCTCCAGAAAACGTGCAATTCACAAAAAAGCGAGATGGATGTACAAAGTTATTGTTTTGCTAATCTAAACCTATTGCTTCTTGCCGTTCTCGTTGCCGTTGCAGTCGTTGTTTAAGCTCCCTATTTACTTAATCATCTACTTTGTGCCTCAAGATACATAGCTAGAGTTGCAAATACAAGTCGGTCATGGGGCAATGCCTGATGAAAATTGACAAAACTAGCCCATGTACTATGCAGTCTAATGAACTGTGGTCTATCATATTTTCTGGACAAAAATTAATAGAATGGCTATGGACTATCACAGTCCAGATGAGCAAAATCCGCCTAAACACAGGTGGATTGTTGCGCCAACAAACGAACATTATTGCAGTGAAAATGTGGCCCGTGTACAGGGGCCCCTTCTCCGATTTTTTCTGTGGGGAGGGTGCGGCTGTACACAGGCTATGAACAGGTGGAAGTTATGATACGTTCAACGAATTGTTTTGTACAGAGTTAGACACAGTGCGTCCTCCAATGATTTCAACCAATTTTTTTGTTTTGTCCAACTGACTTGATCGTACATAAGTCCTTTGAAGAAAGATAAAATACTTGCAGCGATAACTTTGCATCAAGTGCATCTACCTATGGAACCTACAATGTGTGGGGCGAACAATTATTTGGTACGTACTTTCTACTAACCTTGCAAGAAGATCTCAGTGTCTCAAACATTACGCTTTAAAATTAAAACTGGCTACCGTTGAATTAAGGAATTTTTATGGTATCAGAAATTGTAACCCGTACGAAAAAAAACTGGAGAGAAAGAGAAAACAAACCTCTCCAGTGGACTGGAGACCAATGACCACACAATATCCTGCCTGCAATGCTTGCTGGGCTTCT